CCCTTTGGGGGTTTTTTTTTTTTAAAACTAAAATTTTTGGCCGGAACCCCCCCCCCCGGGGGGAATTTTTGGAACCAAAAAGCCTTTTTTTTTTAAAAAAGGGGCAAAAAGGTCCCCCTTTTTGGGGGGGGTTGGGGGGGGGGGGGGGCCCCCCCCCCCCCCTGGGGAAAAAGCCCCCAAATTTTACCCCCTTTGGAAGGGTTTTTCACCCAGGGAGGGCCCCTAAAAAAAAATTTTTTTCCCAAAAAAACCCCTTGGGGGGTTTTAAAGGGTTTTCCCGGGGTCCCCCCCCCCCCCCCCCCCCTTTTTTTTGAGGGGGTTTTTAGTAGGGGTGGGAACGGGGCTCCTTTTTAAAAGGGACGGGGGGTCAATGGTCAAAAGATTAAGGCAAGCAAAAAAGGATTACCCCCCCCCCCCCCCCCCTCCCCCGACCGCGAAATGTCCCGCACTGCGCGGTTTCTAGCAAGCCCTTTATCACTGTAAGGGTTTGCCAGTGTTCGTGACCCGACCCACGCCCCTACGTCACGTATTCCTTTCCTTACGTCAGGTGCTGCCATTCCAATGCGTGGGCGGACGCAGTTTTGGGCAGGATGCCTTTCAAGTCCGAGGAGGAAGCTCGAGAGGCGATGGATGATTGCTGGGCCAAGCTAACGCCAGCCGGTGCGGTGCGCTGCTGCGCGTGACAGCCGTCCGTTATGTGTTAGAAACGCGGGGCCTCTGTGTGGGCGGGGGGTGGAGTCTGAACGAGTGTGCGCAAGACTTTATCGAGATGATACGGGTGTGGCGTAGGATGGATGCTGCCTCCACCAGAGCACCGGTCGCTGGAATTTTCGGCTCTCGAGAGTGCTCGTCGCGAATACTGCCGCTACATGCGGTTGAGTCTATCCTCTCGCCCCTTCTGAAAAGTCAGTCGGCCTATGATGGCATACTTATTCTCGCCTGAGCCAACTGGTGGGACTACCTAAAAGCGCGCAGTATTCTGCGTTCGACCCGTGACATTCAAAGAAAACCAACTATCCAACAAAAGCTCCCCAGACCCCGCCTTGATCGCAAGCAATGCACCGCTTCGTTCCCGTCCCATCCGCCATCGTCGCGTAGAGTTCAGCGTAAAATCCCCGAAATGTAACGCGTAAGAATGTGTGGCGATGAATCCGGCAGATTACTTGGAGGCGGTCGCGGCGCACCCGGCCATCGGAGACAAGCAGGCGTTGCGGGACAAGTTCGCCCCTTCGAGGTCGGGGTGGGAAGACAAAGAACAAGCCTCAGCAGCAGGGGCGAGCGAGGTATGGTATTTGATCGACATCGTTTCTGCTGTGCCCGTGCGTGCAGCGTTTGGTTTATCGAGGGGCCGCGATTATATAGCTGCTGTCATCTGCTCGAATCTCAATGGCTCATTTCTTGGCAGGTCCATGCACGGGTTTGGGCAAGGTTTTTGTCACCCGCCTAGAAGATTGCAGGATGAGCACATAGCGACTGTTGGCGCGTTCTCTAGAAGAATGATGTTGAAAACCGCGCGACCAGAACCATGCACCCATAACGCTGCCCGCCCCGCCTCCATGTGTGTCTTTTCCTTGCGTGACCCGTGTGTGATGATGACAAGACCGTCTTAGACGAGCTTTCCGAGCTGAACGAGAAATACCGACGAAAGAATGGTTTCGTTTTTCTTGTCTGCGCCTCGGGCCTGCCCGCGGACGCAATTCTGGCCCTCCTGAAGGCGCGCTTGCCTAATGACAGGGATACAGAGGTGAGCTGGCGATTGGGTGAAGTACAGTGAGAGACCGACTGCATGTGTGGGTGAGGGGGGTGCTACAATAGTCTTGCTTCGCTGAGTCGTTTGACCTTTGGCAACGCAGCTCTTTTGATGCGGGGCACCGCCTGTTCCGTCTCCTTAGAGACACCTCACCGGCAACGCTCGGGCGGTATTTGTGCTCCTGCCGTGCTCTTCATGGGAACTCCTCGTTAACCTTGTTCCCCTTCTTTTTTGGGTACAAGTAGTTGTTGGGGAGCTGGGGCATCAATTTGGGGCCTGCCTGCCTTGATTGCTTTGATCCTTTTCCTCGCACCGCTTTCGACATGAACCTTAGTGTCCGAAAGGGAAAGGGTGGTTTTTTGGTTTTGCAAAAGAAATCAGTCTAGCGTACCTGCCCGCGGATGGCGTGTAGCGTGATGGTGGAAAGAGGAAACGAGGAGAAGGGGGTTGCGGCGAGTATCGAGGACCCGGAGTTTGGAGGGGAAATAGTCCATGTGTCGTTAGTACGCACGAGACGTTGCCCACACGAGATACACCCCGATCCGTGCTCTTCGGATGGCTGGTGCGTGTACGTGAATCAGAACGTTTAGTGCGCAAACAGACGCTTGCCGCGGGCTGCCTGAAGGTTGCTCCCACCTACCCACCCGTCCTCTCATACGCGCGTGGCTGCTGACGACTGCTGTTGCTTTTCTTTTTTTGTTGCTCCACGAAACAGATTCGAAACGCAGTCGAAGAGCAACGGAAGATCACTCAGCTTCGGTTTGCTCGACTCCTCACGGAAATCTCACCGCCTGCCATCGCTGGGGGGGCTAGCGATACAAATAAAAGGTCAACACCCTCTGGTAGTTCGCGGCTGTAGGAGTATAAATTCTCTCTTTTTTTTTCTCAGTTGGCGGGTTTACGAAACACGTTGTTCCCGCCCCCGTACATTGGCGGGCACGCCACGTCTATCCACACAATTTACACGAATAGGTGTCTTGTACAGGGTGGCGTGGGCTATGTCTTGGGCGACACAGTCTATTATTATATAATAATAGTATTCGCATGTGTTTTTGATGTTGTGCTATGATTTGTTCCACGGTTCCAAACAACCTTGTTTTGAGTAACGACGGTGCTGGGGCAAGTTCCTGTTTTTGTGTACTCCGTATGATTTACCGTGGTTCGTGTGTTTGTGAAGAAACCTATGGCAGAGGAACCAAAGCACTGCTGGTTGTGGCAGCTCCAGGGATGGCCCGCGCTTCTCGATTACATGTTTTGTCTTTTATCCGGGGATGATTCAAAGTTGGTTGGATTGTCGTTTTCTGTCGTGGAGTTAGCAAGCAACGTTTTTGTGCCGTGTTTTTGCCCCCCCTTTCATCGGTGTCTCTGCACGTACTTGCACCGTTCCTGCTGTGCTTTCGTCGCAGATGAGACGAAAAACGTTCGATGCCAAAGGCTGCCGCGGCTGAGTTTCGTACATGAACTTCTTCCCAACAGCGGAGGAATTTTTCTCTCCAGAGCGCGTGGATGACCTGTTGCTAGTGCCTCAGGATATTGATCCATCTAGTTTGGGTTAAGCTATGTATAGATGTAAATCCGACGAAACTGTGTACGTGTGCTCGATTGTACAATCGTTTTTGCGTACAACCTCGGAGAAACCAAAATACACCGTCAGCCGTGTTATTTTTGGCGCTGTTGGCGTAACGTTCCGTTGTTTGTTGTGCCTTGGTCTTAGATAGATGCACATTCGCCCACCAACATCAGGCAACAATTAATCTCAGGGTTCGCGCGCCGCTTTTGTGGCGGTGGTTGTCTTGTCGCTTGCTGTGCGCAACACTTGTTTCGTCCAGGGAACCCCCCTTTCTTGGAGCATCATTTGTTCGACTATTTGTGACAATAGTGTGCACGTAGAGGTACAGAGTAATTCGTTCGGGAAAATCACACGTTCGCAGCTTGTCGAGCGAGTCTTGGCAAGAGCTGCGCGCAGCCAGAACGGAAGCTCCTCACATAAATGTTCGGCCCCTCCGCGCGGCGATGAGCGCACGTCGGCGTGGACAACGAGCCGCGTCTCTTCACAAATGACTCATGTGAAGCGCAGACCGCAATCTGGCGCAAAGGTCGCACTGTTTTCGACGCGCGCCTCACCTGGAAAAATTATCGGCAGCGTATCCCCCCCCCCCCCCCGCCAACCCCCGACAAACCAGCAGAAAAACGTACCAGTGTTGGTTCTTATTACATTTTGTTTTGTTTTCGCCGGGACACAATTGCGTCATGGGTTTTGCTGCAAGTAACATTATTTATTTTCGGCCCAGACAACACGAAACGAAAATCGGAAACGGTCCACACGAACCACACGGCATGCACAAGGGGATACAACGCTAAACTCCAATGCGTGTCGTCAACCTCTGATGGTTTAGTTTCCCCCCCCCACCCAACGAAGTGAGAAAGGGGGGCACATCCGTCGCAGATGTTAGGGCAAAGGGACAAGGCGTGAAAAGAAACAGCAGTCAATACACCGGAGGGTGACCAGAGGACACTACGAGATACGAGATGCTCTAGAAATTGCGGAGTTGGACCTTCATGCTTGTCGCTCCCTCTCTACCAGAAATAAACAGAACAAGATGCCGACACAGGGGAGAGAGGGCTTCTCCCCCACCATAAACTACCTCAAAACTCGAACCACACACCAGCGTAACTCATCGCGGTCAAACGTACTGTAAACTCCAACAACGTCTACGCAATAACATCAAGTGTTCCACACAATTTCCTTCCGCTGCAGTACTCCAAGGGCCTATAGGTGCGGGTCCGGCGTGATACACTCAATCGCGGGACCGACGCTCGCGCGGAAGCGATACCACGCCTCCTCAGCCATTCCCTTTAACAAAACACCGGTTCAAACCGATATCACGATCTCTTTTGAGACTCCTCTAGAAACGCCTGTATCCCCATGGCCATCATCGACCCAGACCTGCCACCGCCTCCGCGCGCGCCCCGACCGGCCCCTTCATCCTGACCCCCGCTGCTCCCTTCATTGCCCGCTTCCGCCTCCGCGGATCCCCCACCCGCCCCCATCGCCCCGCCGGCGCCGCCTTCTACCACCCCCCCTCCAACACTAGCGCCCGTATCTCGTTCGGCAAACTCGCTCTCCTCCGGGCGAGGGTATCCCGGTCGAGAGTGAGGAGACGCGGCAGGCGGAGCCATATCGGCGGCGGCGGCGGCGGCGGGCGTGGTGGCGGTAGCGCGCGAAGCGGCGGCGGAGGCAGCCTCCCTGGCCTCCCGGAGCTGTTTCGCCTTGGCGAGGCGCTGCACCCGGGCCAGGATTTGCTCCTCGTCCGGCTCGCGCTCGCTCGCGGCGGCGCCTTCCCTCTGCGCGGCTCGCCGAGACGCGTCCGCCTGCAGGCGCCACGGCAAGAGAGATTGCCCGGAGGGGGGGGGGGGGGGGGGAAAAAGGGAACCTTCCGCCCCACCCCAAAACCAAAAAGAAAAAAATGCCCCCCACAGGGGTTCCGGGGAACCCCAATGAAACCCCCCGGCTAACGGCCAAAAAACCCCCCCCGGATGTGGGGAAAAAAAAAACCCCGAAAAAAATACCCCTTCTGGGGGGTCCCGCTGTCCCCGAAAAACCACCCCCCCGTTTTAAAAAAATCTTTCCCGCCCCCCCGGGTTTTCCGCCCCCCACTCAAGGGGGACCCCAAGTGGTTTGGTAACCCAACGTACCCCAAAAAACCCCCCCCCCCCTTGACAGGGGCTTTTTTTGGTGGCCCTAAATTAAGACGCCCCCTCAAAAAGGGGAAAACCCCCTTGGGGCCCAAGGGGCCATTCCCCCCCCTTTC